AAATAAGCCAGATGCAAAGGACAAAAACTGTCTGATCCCACTTATATGAAATACCTAGAATAAGCAAATGCATAGAGACAAGTTTATGAGTGGTTGCCAGTGGCTGGTGGGGGGACAAGGGAATTATTATTCAAGGGGTACTAAGCTTTTGTTTGAAGCAATAAAAAACTTGTTGGAAATAGAAAAACAGATAGTTGAGATGACTGCACAACATGGTGAATGCAATCAATGTCACTGAATTTATAAATGGTTAACATGTCAATGTTTTGTTATGTGTATATATTTTACTATAGTTAAAAAAAAAAACACAAAAAGAATATGGAGTCTAAAATCAGACTGACCTAAATTAACATCCTGGCTCTTGCACTGACTCACAGTTTTAAAAAAATAAACAAATAACCATGCTACTGTTTTTATTAGGTTCCTATCTTTTTTTTCCCCCTTATGACACTGGCAAAGTTTTTGAGCATTAGGCCCTTAACCTCGTTTCTCTAATAAGCCCTCTGGTTTTTATTGCATGATTCTGCATAGCAGTGACTTTTAGGAATGCATATGTCACATTACAGCAGAACTGTGTTACCATAAAGTGTTCAGCACAGTGCTTGGCACATGGTAAGCATTCAAATGATTACTTATCAATAGTAAAGCAAGGAAAAGTATTTAAATATCCAATAAAATTACAATGGGGGGAATGAGTTATCCCAGAAGGTAGTGTGAAGCACTTAGAATACTACAAGCAAAGGCTTTAGGAATGAAAGGTTGTTGTTGTTGTTGCTGTTGTTATGTGCCCTTGAGTCAGACTCATAGCGACCCCTCCTTGGGTTTCCTCCTTGGGTTTCCGAGGCAGTATCACTACGGAAGTAGATCGCCCCATCTTCCTTCCAAGGAGTGGCTGGTGGGTTTGAACCCCCAGCCTTCTGGTTAGCAGTCAAGTGCCTTAGCCACTATGCTAGCAGAGCTCCCAGGAATGAAAGGTAGCACTAAAAAAAAAAAAAAACTGTAGCTACATATGGTTACAACTCCACATTAAAAACAATTACCATAACATCTATAACATCTGGAAGTAAATGCATCTGAATGTAAACAGCAATTGATGGAGAGAGATATTTTTTTAAAAATTTGGTTGTATCTTTGGTGAAAGTGTATGCAACAAATTAGGTTCCCATTACCAATTTCTATACATATTGCTCAGTGACACTGCTTACATTTTTCACACTGTGTCAACACTCTCACTGTCATTATTTCCTTTCTACTTGCTCTGTTTCCATTATTCTAGCCTCCCTGCCACCCCCTTACCTTCTCATCTTTGCTTTAGAGTAAATGTTGACAGTGAAGTTGCATCTAGATGATTATTTAAAGAAGCACAGTACTCATGGGTGGACTGTTTATTTTACAAGCTAATCTATTATTTGGCTGAAAGGTGACCTCCAGGAGTAGCTTCACTTTCAAGTTTAAAGGGTATCATAGGGGTTCCTCTAGTCTCTACCAGCCCAGTAAGTCTGGCATGTGGTTTTTTGGTTTGTTTTTTTTTTTAGAAATTTGAGTTTTGTCCTACCTTTTGCTCCTGTTCTATCCAGGACCAACCACTGTGTCCTTAGTCAAAACAGTCAGTAGTGGTAGCTAGGTTTCTTTTTAAATTTTGCTATTTTTTGTTATATTCCCAATTTTAAACTCTTGTTGTTTTTGTTGTTATGTGCCATCAAATCGGACCCGACTCATAGTGACCCCTCCTTGGGTTTCCGAGGCAGTATCACTATGAAAGTAGATTACCCAACCTTCCTTCCGAGGAGTGGCTGGTGGGTTTGAACCGCCAGTCTCCTGGTTAGCAGTCAAGTGCTTTAGGTACTACCCTACCAGAGCTCCTAATTTTAAACTAGTGAGTACATATTGGTTTTAGGAAGGTAATAAACTTTTTCTAAAAGCTTAAAGACAATGTAACATCAAAAACAAAGCTGTTTTCAAGAAGCAAAAAAATCACCTCACCAGCTAACCCAACCCCTTGCACAAATGCTGTCCCTTTTCGGTGCCTGAGTACCTGTTTTACTCTGTTGCCATGACAACAAATACATCCTGCCTAAGGCAGCTTCTTCCACTCAACATTATACCAAACACTTCCCCGCCTCTACCTTGTCTTCAGAGTAATTTTTTTTTTTCAAAATAAAGATTGTTTTAATGATGAAAATTTTGAAGCCATGTAGCTTGTGAGCTTTACTTTGTATCTAGAAACACAACTGAAGTGAATTTCTTTTGTAACCAATTTACAAGCACATGAGGGCCGGATGAGAATGAGCTTGACCTTGCACAAAATCAATCTTAACCACCTCTTTTTTTCCTAAGGCACACAGATAAAGGCTTATCAGACAGGGTGGGAGGGTGCTATATCTTAAAACTGTTAACATTTAGGCCTTGAATATCTATCTACAAGACTGTCACCAGAAAATCTGGAATCAGACAGTCCACTCCTGACAAATGTGTTAGAAGGTGGGAAGAAACTGGCTGTGGCGGCTTTGAGAACTGGACTCCCATTAAAAAAGGCCCACATGTTTTGGAAAACCAGCAGGAGATAAAATTAGTTGTGAATCAGATGAGCTTCTTTGTAAGACTTGCAGAGTAACATGGGAGTTTAACAGGGCAAAAGAAAGCAGAAATGACACTCGAAACTAACAAGGGAAAAATCTGACAAGTGTGAAAGCACAGTTCTGCATTTAGGTTTGAAAGAAAATGAACCATATGAAGCCAGGATAAATTGGAAGAAGGAGATGGAACTCCTGGGTGGTGTAAATAGTTAGGCGCGTGGCTGCCAACTGGACAGCTGGAGGTTCGAGTCCACCCCAAGGTGCCTCAGAAGAAGGCCTGATGACCTACTTCTGAAAAATCAGCCACTGAAAACCCTGTGGAGGACAGATCTACTCTGACACACATGGGGTTGCCATGAGTTAGAATCAACTTGGCTGGCAATAAGTCACAGGGAAAAACATTAGTGAGAGCCAACAAAATACACTAAAAACACCAACTGAATCTGCTGGAGAAAGTGAAGGATGGAGTGAGCTGGTCAACGGTCCAGCTGTTCTCAGGGTGGTCAGAGCACATCTGGAGGTTTAGGCTCTGTCCTAGGCAGACAAGGATATATGGCAGGTATCCACATAGACCATTTCTTTGTGCTCTAGGAGGAAAGGTGCAGCTATGGGAAGGATAAAGAAAATATTCAGTGTACTAAAAAAAAAACAAAACTCATAGCGACCTGAGGTGCTAAATCTTTACAGAAGTAGATTGCCCCATCTTCCTTCCGCTGAACAGCTGGTGGGTTTGAACTGCCAGTCTTCTGGTTAGTAGCCAAATGCCTAGACACTATGCCACCAAAACTCCTTCAGAGTATGCTCAAAAAAACTCCTAACTCACTGCCATGGAGTTGATTCTGACTCATAGCGACCCCCATTGGGTTTCCAAGGCAGTAAATCTTTACAGAAGTAGATTGCCCAGTATTCTTTCCACAGAGTGGCTGGTGGATTTGAACCACCAGCCTTCTGGTTAGTAGTCAAATGCCTTAGGCACTACAACACCAGAGCTAGCGCTCTCAAATAAGTGAAGAGCCTCCAGCAGAGAAGAGGAGAAAATCAGCCCAAGGGCCAGGGGTGTGAGGGACACTGAAGTTAGCCTCTGTAACCATAGGACCTTTGCTCCTGTGGGGGTTCCACCCTGTAACAGGAAGTGCTGGCTCAGAGTGGAAACGGTAAGGGAACAAAAGAAACACCCCAATGGGGCTGGCTGGCCTCAAAGTTGCCCCTACTCTCTAAGCCTCTAGCAGAGCTTCTCAAACTCCAAAGGGCTCAGGAATCACCTGGGGATGTTGTAAAAGTGCAGATTCAAAGTCAGTGGGTCTAGGAGGTTGCACATTTCTAACATGCTCCCAGATGATACTGATGATGCTGGTCCACCAAGCACACTTGGAGTAACTGGGCCATTCTCAAGTCCAAGAAACTAAGTCTGGAGAAGCCCAGCTTTCTGAAAGGACAATCGTGGGGTCAGGATGGCCTACAAACCAAGGCTCCAAAGAAGGTGATGGCTGGCTTAGGAAGGAGGCATCCTCCTGCAGGTATACACCAGCTTAGCATGGGAGATTCTTCCAAAACAAAAATTTTCTAGGAGAAAGGAGATCTGGGAAGGGGTGGAGTCAGGCTGTAGGTATTTGGGCCCAAAACACAATTTAGCAACTTAAAACGATCTCAGGAACAGAAACCCACAAAGTCCTGCTGCAAGCTGTCTAGATTTAATCAACTCTGCCCCACCCACCTCTCCACAAAAGCACTCTGCCTGTATTGCTCTAGGGGAGAGGTGACTACAGACCAGGAGATCCTCCCGTTGTGACTCAGAGGCAGAGTCAAATCTGATCCCCGAAGCCCAGCATTCCTGAGGTTCTGATCTCGCCTCTACACAGCTCCAGTCCACCTTTCCTAACTTAATTTCTGACATTACATGCCACATCTTGCCCTTCCCCCCTCCCTGTCTCTGGCTCATCTTCAGGTGTGCCTTCTCCTGCACTCCAATTTCAAGGGCCCCAAACCACCCAAAGCTGCTGAGCTTCCCCGTCGCCTCTGCATACCCACAGCATCTGGGTGGTCTCTCTTAAAAAGTATGTCTCGTATCAGTTTTCTTACTGCGGGTACCTCGGGTGCACTCTCGGATGCTGGGCGCCCCTTTGTCTCCCCCTGCGGCGCCGAGAGCAGTGCCCTGAGCACAGGAAGTACTCAAAACAGAGCTTGATGGGCAGAAGCCGTGCCCAGAGGGGGCGCCCAGCCTTCAGGGACTAAGCTGGGCTGGGTGAGGTACCCCAAAGAACAAGGGTCACTGGGAAGAGAGCCCGGGACCCTAAGTTCAGGGCCGGGACAGCCTTTCTGTGCCCTGAAGAGCCGTAGCCAGAGCTGCCCGGGACCAGCGCCCCTTCCTTCCGGAGCGTCTCCACGAGCCCCGGGCGCTCGCTCACCCGCCTTCAGCGTCCTCACCTTGTAAACCTTGCCGAAGGCGCCGTCGCCCAGCTCGCCCACGATCTCCCACACCTCGTTGGGGTCCAGGTCCCGGCGGACGTGCTCATATTCGCGGGACTTTCTCTTCTCGAAGGTGGACAGGCGCAGGATGCGACGGAAATTGGCGAAAGCCATGGCTGGGGGCGTGCGAGCCGGGGGGCGAGGTGGCGCCGGCTCGGGCTGTGGCTCAGCTGCCGCGAGGAGGAAGGTGGGGGACGCCGCGGAGCTCGGGGGTTCTCCCCAGACCCACCCTTCGCCCAGCACCACCCGTTCAAGTGCGCCCTGGGTTGAGCCGCGGCAAGAGACCCGGAACCGCACAGACTGCCGCGGTCCCGCCCCCGCTCAGCCTTGTCTCCAGGGCCGCCTCCGGAATGCTGGCCCGGCTCGCGCTGCGCCCTCCTCCCAACCAGTGAGACCCAGGACGCGTTCCGGGGACCCGGCCCGGCGCCCGCCCATCGGCCCGCGGCTCCACCTGCAGCTCCCCGGCAGCGCCGCGAGACCCCCTAATTGGCTGCGGGCGCTCTCCGACTCCGCCCGTCGCCGCAGGGCACTCTGGAAACTGTAGTCTCCGGCGCCTGGCTCCCACGAGCCTAGGGCTGCGCTCTGGAGAACTTAGGACCCTCAGCGGGAAAGTCCCAACTCTTGGAGGCCTGCGGTGCCGCGCCGCGTGGCTCCCAGAACTTTTATGGGAAGTCAGTTAGCATTTCGTGAGCGTCCACTGATTGTTGTCAGTGCCAAGAAGGCGAACAGGCATGAGCTCACTGAATTGGCTCCCCAACTTTCCCGCAAGGCTGCTCCACTTGTCTCCACTTCTCAGATGAGGAGGTCGAGGCCTGGCAGACGAGGACACTTGCCCTGGGACACACGTCCTGGCTGCGAATCCGGTGCGAGTTCCTTGGCGCGGTGCTGCCTCCTAGTGCGCAAAATGCAGCACCCGTTGCTCCTTAGGGAGCTGTTTCCCGACTTCTTTACTGCTTCCTAGGGACTCATAGTGGCTAAGACACTTGCCTGCTAACCAGACGACTGGCGGTTCAAACCCACCTGCCACTCCTGGGAAGGAAGGTTGGGCAATCCTACTTCCGTAGTGATACTGCTTCGGAAACCCAAGGAGGGCTCGCTATGAGTCGGGGGCTGACTCGACGGCACATAACAACAACAGGGACTCCTTGGCCAAGGTCTACAAAGCACCCTCTCCTCCTCATCCTCTACAAACCTGTCTGGATTGGAGGGCTGAGCAAAAAAAATACTTTGGAACACATTTATTGCATGCTTTATGATGAGTCTGCAGACATATTTGCATGTTATAGAGGCGTATCTAGGGTGTGGCAGGTACTGCCACGTGCCCTCGCATGCATCACTTGAGGTGGAAGGGGGTAGCCTCTGAGCAGTTTCTATTCCCCATTGTTTTTCCATCGCCAGAAGTGAGAGATTATTTAGCAATTTATAACTAATTGCCATAGGTGCTATTGTCCGTAGGTACAGCTCTGGCATATTAACTTTAAACTTTGTTAAATTTAATTTCCTAACTTAAAAAAAAAAAATTAAAAACGAAACTTCTTGGTGACTACCATCATCCTCCATCCCAGCTGCTGACTCACTTTGCTGCCACTGTTATCATTTTGTGTCGATCTGATAGCAGTGAGGTGGATTGGGTCCTATGCCAAAACCAAACCAAACCAGTTGCCATTTAGTTGATTCCAACTGAATGGCAACCCCATTTGTTGCAGAGTAGAACTGGGTTCCACAGGCTTTTCAAGGAGGTGAATTTTCAGAAGTCAATCACCAAGCCTGTTTTCTGAGGCACCTCTAAGTGGCCAGTCTTTGTGTGTGTGTGTGTGTATGTGTGTGTTTTGGTTTTTTTTTTTTTTTTAGGGTAAATACAATTTTATTCAAACCTGTCAGTATGAGGTTTGAATAAAAATGTATTTATCCTAAATATATAAATATATTTTTATTCAAATCTATCAGTATGAGCTAGGAGCTCTGGGGGTGTAGTGCCTAAGTCTTTGACTGCTAACCAGAAGGCTGGTGGTTCAAACCCACCAGCCACTCCTTGGAAGGAAGACTGGGTAATCTACTTCCATAGAGATACAGCCTCAGAAATCCAAGGAGGGGTCACTATGAGTAGGAACAACTAGACAGCAGTGAGTTTGGGTTGTTTTGGTTTATCAGTATGAGACTTAAGAAAAATATGGTAGTGTCCAAAAAGTGTTGTCGTTAGGTGCAGTCAAGTTGTCTCCAACTCATAGCGACCCTGTGTACAACAGAACAAAACACTGTACAGTCCTGTGCCAGCCTCACAATCCTTGCTGTACCTGAGCCCATCATGGCAGCCACTGTGTTAATCCATCTCGTCGAGGGCCTTTCCCTTTTTCACTGACCTTCCACTTTACCAACCATGATATCTTTTTCCAGGGAAGGACCAAAGTAGGTGAGACAAAGTCTGGCCATTCTCACTTCCAAGGAGCATTCCAGCTGCACTTCTTCCAGAACAGAGCAGTCCATAATACTTTCCGTATTCTTCACCAACACCACAGCTCAAAAGCATCAACTCTTCTTCAGTCTTCCTTATTCATTGTCCAGCTTTCACATGCATATGAGGAAATTGAAAACACCATGGCTTGGTTAGGTGCATCTTAGTCTTCCAAGATACATCTTTGCTCTTCCACACTTTAAAAAGGTCTTCTGCAGCAGATTTGCCAATGCATTATGTCTGATTTCTTGACCGCTGTTTTCATTGGTGTTGATTGTGGAACCAAATATAATGGAATATTTGACAACTTCTATTTTTTCTCCATGTATTGTGATTCCGCTTATTGGTCCAGTTGTGAGGATTTTCATTTTCTTTATTTTGAGGTGTAATCCATACTGCAGTCTGTAGTCTTCAGTCTTCATTAGTAACTGCTTCAAGTCATCTTCACTTTCAGCAAGCAAGGTTGGATAATCTGCATATCACAGATTGTTAATGACTCTTCCTCCAATCCTGATGCCCCATTCTTCATATAGTCCAGCTTCTCAGATTATTTCCCAGCATACAGATTGAGTAAGCATGGTGAAAGGATACAACCCTGATGCACTCCTTTACTGATCTTAAACCATGCAGTATCCCCTTGCTCTGTTAGAAAGACAGCCTCCTGGTCTATGTACAGGTTCTTCATGAGCACAAGTAAGTGTTCTGGAATTCCCATTCTTCTCAATGTTATTCATAATTTGTTATGATCCACACAATCTCTGGTAGTGTAGTGCCTAAGGCACTTGACTGGAACACTGGTAGTGTCCAAAAAGTGTTGTC